TTTATTTTTTTGAGACAGGATTTCTCTGTAGCCTTGGAGCCTGTCCTGGATCTAGCTCTTGTAGACCAGGCTGGCCTCAAACTCACAGAGATCCGCCTGCCTCTGCCTCCTGAGTGCTGGGATTAAAGGCATGCAGCACTACCGCCCAGCTCTTAGTTTTATTTAATGGACATATTATGCATATATATGGAGTATGATGTGATAGTTCTTATACAGTGTGTAGCGATAGATAAACACTGATTATCTGGTTTCCCTCCGGCAGATGCACCAACTCCTACATGTGTTGAAAAAGGAACAGACCATTTACAACACAGTATTTCATGAACTAATCCGACAAGTCAGCGTGGATTGTATAGACAGAGGAGAGCTACTATCCAGAATCAGGTTAGAAATGTTCACGGAATGTTTCAGGTTCCCCATTTCAAAAATCTGAATTATAAATATTAGTGCATATTAATTATACAGGTTAATAGGAGCCACTGTACTACTGCCATAGTGCATCTTTTTGAACGTGTTGAGGTGTGCTTGAGAAAGCTACAAAAATATCTCTATGAACTAACAGTAAAATCTTCATCTTGGCTAAGATCCAAAAGTCCAAGCTTTTGTTTTCTCACTATCCACTTCTAAACAAGTGGTGTTTGTTGAGTGCTTATTCTGTGTCAAGGGCAGGGGAAAGAGTAAATTGATTATTAATTATTGGAAGAGTCTTATGTAGCTCAGACTGGCCTCGAACTTGTTATATAGCCTTATAGGTATGAACCACCATGCCTGTCTGTGGTGAGATTTAAATGAGAACGCAGGGCTGGTGAGTGAAGACAGGGCCAGTGGGTAGGAGTGTTTGCCATGCATGCCTGATGACCTGAAATCCACAGTGGAAGGAGAGAGCCAGCTCCGGAACATTGCCCTCTGACCTCCACAAGTGCCATGTTGTCCGCACACCTGTGAATGCACACAGCCCTATCTCAGAGTCACAATGACTCCATTAAAATTGAAATAGAAATATGTGCTCTGTATACATGATCATCAATGGTAAAAAGGTTACAAATACTATTGTTACTATGATTATCCTTCTTAGTACTTTGGTTCTTTCCAAAAAATTGAAAGAATACATTGGCCCAATCCCAGTTCCCCCTCCCTCCTTTCCTCCTGCTCCTCCCACCTTCCCCCAACCCCATCCTCCATCTGCTCCTCAGAGAAGGTAAGACCTCCTCTGGGAAGTCAACTAAGTCTGCCCCATCACTCACTAAGAAAGGACCAAGACCCTTCCCACCCCTCCCCCATGCGGGGCCTAGGCTGAGCACGGGATCTCTCCATGGAGAATGGGCTCCACCCAGTCAGTTCATGCACTAGGGCTAGATCCTGGTCCCACTGACAGTGCCCCACACACTGCCCACGCCACACCACTGTCGCCTGCTTTCAGGGGGCCTAGTTTGGTCCTAGGCAGGTTCCCCAGTTGACAGTCCAGAGTCAGTGAGCTCCTTACTAGCTTGGGTCAGCTGATTCTGTGGGTTTCCCCATCATGGTCTTGATTCTTTTGTTCATATTATCGCTCCTCCCTCTCTTCGACTGTACTCTGGGAGCTTGGCTCAGTGGTCAGTTGTGGATCTCTGCATCTGCTTCAATCTGTTTCTGGAAGAGGGTTCTAGCTTCTTTGGGATTGTGGACTGTAGGCTGGTTATCCTTTGCTTTATGTCTGGCATCCACTTATGAGTGAGTTTATATGTGTAGCCTCTTATGAGTGACTACATATGATTATTTATCTTTCTACATCTGGGTTTACCTCACTCAGGATGTGTGTGTGTGTGTGTGTGATTTTTTTTTTTTGGTTCTGCCCATTTGTCTGCAAATTTCAAGATGTCATTTATTTTTATCTCTGAGTAAAGTCCATTGTGTAAATGTACCACATTTTCTTTATTTAGTCTTCAGTTGAGAGGCATCTAGGTTGTTTCCAGGTTCTGGCTATTATGAATAATGCTGCTATGAACATAGTTGAGCAAGTGTCCTTGTGATGTGATTGTGTCTCCTTTAGGTATATGCCCAAAAGTGGTGTTGCTGGGTCCTGAGGTAGATTGATTCCTAATTTTTTGAGAAATCACCATACTGATTTCTAAAGTGACTGCACAAATTTGCACTTTCGTCAACAGTGGGGAATGTTCCCCTTTCTCCATAGCCTCTCAAGCATAAGCTGTCATTGCTGTTTTTGATCTTAGCCATTCTGATTGGTGTTAGATGCTATCTCAGAGTCATTTTGATTTGCATTTTTCTGATGACTAAGGATGTTGAGTATTTCCTTAAGTGTCTTTTGGCCGTTTGAGATTCTTCTGTTGAGAATTCTCTGTTTAGATCTGTACCCCATTTTTAATTGGATTATTTGGTAGTTTGATGTCTAGTTTCTTGACTTCTTTATGTAATTTGGAGATCAGCTCTCTGTCAGATGTAGGGTTGGTGAAGATTTTCCCATTCTGTAGGCTGTCATTTTGTCTTGTTGACTCTTGTCCTTTGCTTTACAGAAGCTTCTTAGTTTTAGAAGTTCCCATTTATTAATTGTTGCTCTCAGTGTCTGTGCTACTGGTGTTATATCTAAGAAGTGGTCTCCTGTGCCAAGGATACTCCCCACTCAAGGATACTCCCCACTCAAGGATACTCCCCACTTTTCTATGAGGTTCAGTAAAAAATATTATTATTTTGTGTTTGTGTATATTGTGTATGAGGGCACAGGAGGCCCTTCCCTTCTGAGCCACACCTCCAGTATGGATTTCCTCTTCCTGCTGTATGACCGGTTTGAGGAGGTAGAAGCAAAATCATTAGAGCCTGGTTAGGATCAGGAAAGGAGTAAATAGAATACTGTGAGGAGTGTCAAATGGGAGAAACAGCAGAACAGCAGCCCATGGGATCAAGCTCAGAATAAAGCCACGGGCGATGATATAAAAGAAATACAGGACTAAGAGCAAAAGAAACAACTGTTTTGGGTAAAAGCATCTGAATAGTTTTTAAATAGTTGGTATCTTTTTACGTTTAGTCAGTTTAAGGAAAGTGTCACCTATGAATTCAAGTATATGAAAATCTCACTGTATTCAAGGCACTCTGGTTATTAATATATAGATTATGACATTGTTCCTCTCTCAAGAGTTTATAATTTAGAAGAACTAAAACACATTCTATTTCTGTTAATATCGCAGATATTATTTATATCCTAGTAGCCATGTCTCCGGTTCTGTCTCATCATAGTTGACTCACTGTGTCTGCTGTGGGACAGGAGCCTGGGTTCCTTTTTTCTTTCTGACCTTTTCCCCACATGCAGTTTGTGTCTGCCTATTGGCCATTTATTCTCCTAACAGTACTTTCTTGCTTGCATTCCTCTTCCTGTCTCTCTTCCTTTCCTTTTCCTTTGTTTCTCCTACAGAGAGAAATATGTGCAAATGCTTGACCAAATTGCTCGGCAGATGATTGATTTCTACAAAGACTTGGTAACTCAGCGGATGATGGACCAGCGCATCTTAGAAGAACTGTATAACTTCAAGAATGTGATTGAGGAGTTGACCAGGTAAAAACCTTAATGCTCCTCAACACAAAGCAGAAGGCAGAGCCCTGTTTTTACCTATAGTAGAGAATCATGGAGTGATGTGGAATTCCCTTCTGTATGCTATGAATACCATTGGTTAATAAAGAAGCTGTTTGGGGCTTGTGATAGGGCAGAATAGAGCTAGGCAGGGAAAACGAAATGGAATGCTGGAAGAAAGAAGGCAGAGTCAGGAGACCCCATGTAGCCGCCATAGGGGAAAGATGAGAGCTTTAAGGTAGAACTTTGCTGGTAGGCCACAAGCCTCGTGGTAAAATATAAATTAATGGAAATGGGTTAATTCTAGATGGAAGAGCTAGCTAGCAATATGCTTAAGTGATTGGCCAAGGAGTGATTTAAATAATATAGTTTCTGTCTGATTATTTCAGGAGTCTGGGCAGCCGGGAAATGAACAAGCTGCCCGAGAACAATGGAGAGGAATGGTTAGAGGCAAAGGCTCTTGTGCCTTCAGTGCTTAACATGAAAACCAGGAGAGATGGGTCCTGGGAGAGAAGCTGAAGGCTGGCTTACTCTTTTAAACTGAAAACTAAAATTCTGCCTGTATTTGATAGAGAAGAACCTGTTCCACATTATAGATACTTATTTTAGTCATGTTTCCAGAACACATCCAGGATTGTATTCAAATCCCAAAGAAAATAAATATACTATAGTGTTGGCAGAGGGCACCAATTTGTTATTGAAGACTGTTGGTTCATTCCTGGCTGCTTAGACCTGAAATAATCACACAGAAACTATATTAAGTAAAACACCACTTGGCCAATCACTTAAGCGTGTTGCTAGCTAGCTCTTATATTTTAAATTAACCCATTTCTATTATTTTATATTTTACCATGAGGCTTGTGGTTTACTGGCAAAGGTTCTGGCTGGTGGTTTGTGTCTGTCTTCTCTGGGGACTACATAGTGTGTCTCTGATTCTGCCTACTCTATATCTCTTTCAGCCTGGCTTTACTTTTACATTGGCTGAAAGCAGCTTCTTCATTAACCAATGGCAATAAAACATGTTCACAGCATACGTCACTCCCCACATCACCATAGCAATATGGTTTGGGGCTAACCTTGTATCAAGATGACCAATGGCAAGAATGAAGAGCACAGGCAAGGCAGACCAGAGTGGGGACAGCATTGCTCCTGCTGAGTTCTAGAAGATGTACCTGTCACATGGTTTGCTTTTCCTGTCAGCCCATGTCCATTGCCAAACCTGACGAGAGTCCACCCAGGATGTACGCTGGAGGTTTCACCTTGGTTTGAGGGTAGAAAACGAAAGGAGGGGATGCACAGAGATTATATGCAAGTCTGGTTTCTAGGGTCGAAACTTTTTTGGAAGTTTTTTGAGTTTGAAATTTCTTTCCTCCCCCTCCGCCCTTCAGGGAACTTTGTCTGGTTCGGGCCCATGACAACAGATTAACAAAGGAGGCAGAGAAGGCCCAGAAGGATTTGGCAGAAGCTATTTTGGAAGCAGAAAAAAATGCAAAGTGAGTTGCCAAAGCTTAAAGTACTTAATAATGGAAAGAGATGTTTAATCATCTGACTTTCCTGAGAGTGCACTGGCCCATATGTAAAATCCAGGCTGCACCATCGCCTGCTTCCTAGGGTGATTATGAAGGTGACAGTTGTTCAAAGGTGACAGTTAACAGAGCCCTTCAGGTGCCATCTCTGGCTCGGTGTCAGTTAATGAAGCCTTATGGGCACATGTCATGTTTGTATACTGCCCCTGGCTGCTCTGGAGGAGCCACATCTGTGTCTATTCCTTGAAACACAGTGAAAGCACTGGTGTGGCAATGCAATATTCTGAACCTATTGTTTGCATTTGAAGAGAGTGGAGCTCCTGCTCGACCTCACAGTCAGACTTCACTTAAGATTTAAGGCTGATAGCCCACTGTGTACTCAGCTGTAGTTTAACCTGCCTTTAAGAGAACATTATAACAATGAACCTCTGTTTTTTTTTTTTTTTGTTGTTGTTGTTGTTTTGAGACAGGGTTTCTCTGTGTAGCTTTGGAGAGGTCCATCTGCCTCGGCCTCCCCAGTACTGGGATTAAAGGCGTACACCACCACCGCCTGGCTCCAAGTAGTAAACTTTACAATTTAAGCTACTGCATAGCTACCATCTTAAATTATGTACTCTTTCATCCCCTGGCCCAGAGCAATGCATGTGTGCTATGATGTTGCCTGGAAACAGCAAATACAAACATTGAAAGCAATCTTGTAAAACGAATGTCCATTATGGATATTGGCTGATAAACAACAGTGTTTGTAGTACTGTTTGTTGTCAGGGTCACCTGGGTCAGCTGGAGTCAGGAACTTCATCCCTTGTAAAACTGTTAAAGATGTCTCTAAGGTGTCCCTTTCCTTCCCCATATGATGCTTTCTGTGTTGTTCAAAGCCTTTTGTTAGGACACACACAGACACACAACAGACAAACAACACACACACACACAGAGGACAGAGAGACCGAGAGACCCTTTGGGCAGGCACAGATTCAGGCTCATAGCACAGACAGACAGACAATGAAGAAACTGGTGGCATGAAGTAGAGATTTAAATCTTGATTTGCTCTTGGTTAAATGACCACAAGGGGACATGTTTTATTTCTTTCCTTCATATGATGCTGATACATTATTGGTGACTCAGTTAATCACTAATGCATTCAATCAGTGTAATTAATATTAATAAATTAAGTCTAAAGACAGCAGTATGAATGCTTTTCTCATTCTTTCTTGTAAAACTTTCAACTCTTTAAATTTAAAAAAAGTGTGTGATATGGTGCATATGTATGTGTACGTCTGTGATCACCTGGTGTGCATCATGGAAGCCAGAGGCCGTGTACCTTCTTCCTCTATTACTCTCCACCTTAAACACATTTTATTTTATTTTACCTGTGTGGTATTTTGTCTGCACATGTCATGTACCATGTTTGTGCAATGTCTCTGGGGCCCAGCAGAAGGTGTCAGATACCCTAGAACTGGAGTTACAGATGATTGTGAGCGACTGTTTGGGCAGTGGGAACCAAATACAGGTCCTCTGCGAGAACAGCAAGAGTTCTTAGTGCCCGAGTCATCTTTCAGCCCCCATTTTTGCTCTTTTATAAATTAGGGTATTTGTTATTTTTACAAAATTGTCGTCTGTCAGGCAGAAAGGAAACACATGTGCCCCAGGAATTTTCCTGTGTGTGCCCACCTCGTGACTTTCCTCTCGATTATTTTGAGCACATGGAAGAAGACTTAAAGTGGCAGTTTCTAACTCATGCCAAGAATATAATTCTGTGTCACTGCACTTTAAGTCTGTTAGCAAAGTTAACATTAATGAGGAAAATGCCATTTGCCTGTCTTAGTTAATGTCCTATTGCTGTGAAGAGACACCATGACCACAGCAGCTCTTATAAAGGAAAACATTTAATTGGGGCTGGCTTATGGTTCAGAGGTTTAGTCCATTATTAGCATGGTAGGGAGCATGATGGCACACAGGCAGACATGGTGCTGGAGAGGGAGCTGAGAGTTCTGCATCCACATTGGCAGGGAGTAGGAAGAGAGAGACTGGGCCTATCATGATCATCTGAAACCTCAAAGCCCATTCCCAGTGACACACTCAATCCAACAAAACCATACCTACAACAAGGCCATATCATGCCACTGCCCGGTGATTAATCATTCAAATCTGTGAGTGTATCAGGGCCATTCAAAGGACCACAGTCACTTTGTGATTTCTGTGTTTATTCTTTTCATCACATTTATCTACTGTGTGTGTGTGTGTGTGTGTGTGTGTGTGTGTGCACATGCATGTCCAGGCACACACCTGTGAAGGTGAGAGAACAGCTCACAAGGTCAGTTTTTGCCCTCCACCATGTTTAAGCCAGGGCACTTGTTTCTGCCACTGTGCTTGTATACTCCAGGTAACTAATGAACAAACTTCTGGTCAATTCTCCCATCTCTGCCTCCAGCTCACTTTAGGAGTGCTGGGATTAGGAATGTGCTATGGCGTCTGACTTTTTATGTTGTTACTGGGGATTTGAACTCAGGGAGGCATCGAACTTGCAAGGCAAGTGCTCCTACCCACCGAACCACCTCTTGGGGCTTATTCTAACTTGCTCATTAGATACAACGGTATTTAGAAGGTCCATTGGGTGTATTATTTTTGTCATGACTACCATAATATTTGAAAATAAAATGTGAACTTTTTTATTTGACTCTAAAAGGTACTATCAATCTACCCAACAAGTATGCCAATTACCTTATGAAGAGGCTTGAAAGAACAGGTTGCTTATTTTCATAAAAAAGATTTGTTAAGTATCTAATAGATATTTCTTAACTTTCTTTCAGAATAGTAGAAGATTACCATGACTTATATACATTACAGAGAGGGAGGATGGAGAACGACATCAAACTGCTGATGTCAGAAAGAGACATTTGGAGCTCAGCCACATACGAATTGGCGCTAAAGGTTTGTTCATTTGGACTTACAACTCATGCTCTGATATTGACTAACATTTCATTTGACAGTTTTCAATAATACATACAAAAGGGACAAGAAGAAAAAAGATATTTATTGATCAAATCATAGGTTTTGCGGGCACTGATGGAAAGTTTCTTTCCTCTGTTGAGTAACTGAAATGGAAATTTATGCCCTGGCAATGCTGAAGCATGCATGGGCAGCCTGTATATGGCAGTTCTGTTGAACTTGCTCATACTGGATTTCATGGTCTAAGTTGATAAGGACGACTGACCAGGTCTCTTCCTCAAGAGGGCACCGAATCTCATTACAAATGGTTGTAAGCCATCATGTGGTTGCTGGGAATTGAACTCAGGACCTTTGGAAGAGCAGGCAGTGCTCTTAACCACTGAGCCATCTCTTTAGCCCTCTGCTAGGTAATTAGCTGTTGTGTAATTCAGGGCTGTTTTCTTCTTTAACCGTAACCTATAAACTATGACTATAAATTTTTTTTTGGTTTTGTCATATATTGACACTTTTAACTTTGATGTATGCTAATTTTTAGATATAATATACACTAATCCCTAGAGAAGGTAGTATGGCTAATGTGTACTATTTCTAAGTCTGTAAAAGGTAGCTCTTAGTTGTTCATCTCATGTAACCACATTAGGGTCCTTGGCTATCATGTCATGTGGGTTGTTATTTTACCTTGGCAAATGAATGAGGGAACCCGTAGAACATGGTGGTAATGGTTTACAGTGAGAGCAAATCCCACAGGAGTCTACATTTTAAAGACCCATATATGCTGGCTCCCTAGGTAGATAATAACATTGAGTTCTGACCCATAGAAAATTTAAAAATCTGACCCAGCTGGATTGGTTCAAAATTCCACTGGTGGCAGGCCACCAGGCTTTCCTTGCAGTCAGCCTGCATGATAGAGCTGTGCCAAAGTACTCATTAGTACCATGTAGTGGCTTGTCAGTTGCTTGGAGAACATACAGAAGGAATTCTATCAAAATGTTCAGGTATCCTAAACCTAGAGAGAAAGCTTACATACTAGCAGTGGAATCAGAACTTTCTTACTTGGAAAAAAATAAGTCCAAGAAAGGATTACATTTTAAAATGTAAAAACCATGATATTACAAATGTATTAGAATCAATTATGAGTATAAATGAATATTTTATGATACATAGTGAGTTCCAGGACAGCCATGGATACATAGTTAGATCTGTCTCAAAAAATAAAAACAAATGAACAAACAAGCAGAAAAACTAGGCTTTGTAAAATCTGTATGTATATGAGGAGGTGTAAATGTGGGGGAAGCCTGAAAAACTAGAAAGGAGAATAAAAGAGGGTAAACTAGGTGTTGAGGGAGGATGGGGGAGGTAGAAGGACGTGTGGGATATAAAGGAGGAAAAAAACGGTGCGGTGTTCTTTAATCCCAACACTTGGGAGGCAGAGGCAGGTGGATCTCTGAGTTCAAGGCCAACCTGCTAGGGAGTGAGTTCCAGTACAGGCCAAGCTGCACAGAGAAACTCTGTCTCTAAAAATAAAACAAAACAAAAAACAAAAACAACAGAGAAAAACAGAGGAAAAGAGACTGGGGTGGTAGGGAGGAGTGGGGTCAGAGGCTATGGATGGGGAGTAGGGAGATGAGGGGGAAGGAGAATCACAAACGCCAGACCCAGCAATACCACTTTGGGGTATATATCCAAAGTATGCTCAATTGTTCCACAAGGACATGTGCTCAACTATGCTCATAGCAGCATTGTTTGTCATAGCCAGAACCTGGAAACAACCTAAATGTCCCTCAACCGAAGAATGGATGAGGAAAATGTGGTGCATTTACACAATGGAGTACTACACAGCAGAAAAAAATAATGACATCTTGAATTTTGCAGGAAAATGGATGGAGCTAGAAAACATTATTTTGAGTGAGGTAACCCAGACACAGAAAGACAATTATCACATGTACTCATTCATAGGTGTTTTTAAACATGAAGCAAAGAAAACCAGCCTACAAACCACAACTCCTGATCCTCATACCACTTCAGGAGTTCAATGTCATCCTCAGCTACAAAGAGAGTTTGAGGCCAGCCTGGACTCAATGAGACCTTAAAAAACAAAGCAAATGAACTGGAAAAATAAATTCCTAAATATATATGATTTACCAAAAGTTAAATTAAGAATAAGATTAAAGCAGTACTAAAAGGATCTCTGTGGCCAAGTGTGATGGTACACTTCTCTAATCTCAGCACTCACTCAGGAGACAGAGGCAGGTAGACTTCTGAGAGTTTGAGGCCAAACTTGCATAGCAAGTTCTAAGTCAGCCAGGACAACATAGTAAAACCCTATCTCAAAACAAAAAACAAACAAACAAACAAAAAAAACCCACGAAGATAAGCCCAAGAAAGGATGGATTCACTGCCAAGTTCCCAAACATTTAAGGAAGAACTAACACCAACATTCTTCAAACTATTCCAATAAAGTGAAAGGAATTACATATCCCCAGACTATCTCTACACTGCCCTTGTTACCCCAGAACAAAGGCTGGGTACGGACACAACAACAGAAAAACTGTAGGCCAATTTTCTTGAAAACATAGACACATAAATTTATATTAAAATTATATTCGAGAATACACTAGAATCAAAAATCATGACTAAGCTGACAAGATGGCCGGGCTGCCCCGCAGGATCATCAAGGAAACCCAGCGTTTGCTGGCAGAACCAGTTCCTGGCATTAAAGCAGAACCAGATGAGAGCAACACCCGTTATTTTTATGTGGTCATTGCTGGCCCTCAAGATTCCCCCTTTGAGGGAGGGACTTTTAAACTTGAACTATTCCTTCCAGAAGAATACCCAATAGCAGCACCTAAAGTACGTTTCATGACCAAAATTTATCGTCCTAATGTAGACAAGTTGGGAAGAATATGTTTAGATATTTTGAAAGATAAATGGTCCCCAGCACTGCAGATTCGCACAGTTCTGCTATCAATCCAGGCTTTGTTAAGTGCTCCTAATCCAGATGATCCGTTAGCAAATGATGTAGCCGAGCAGTGGAAGACCAATGAAGCCCAAGCCATAGAAACAGCGAGAGCATGGACTAGGCTATATGTCATGAATAATATTTAAGTCGATCAGATCATCAAGTGTACATCACTTCTCCTGTTCTGCCAAGACTCTTCCTTTTTTTGTTTGCATTTAATGAACACAGTCTTAGAAACATTACAGAATAAAAGCCCAGGCATTTTCATCTTTGGTGATTACATGCACATTAGCAAATCTATGTCTTGTCCTGATTCACTGTTGGAAAGCATGAGCAGAGGCTAGAAGTGTCATCCGGGTTGTTGTGAAGTGTTTAAAAGCAGTGACTCTACTTGGATTAATTTCCCCATAATGGTTTAAGTACAAAGCACTGTGAATGAAGGTAATTGTCAGGGTTAGCTGCCAAGGGTATGGGTGTTTATATTTTATTTTTTAGGGGGAAAGTTTTATTTTAATTTTATGGTTTCCTTTCTCCCTCCCCCTCTTATGGGATCTAATTGCAGTGGTTAAATGCAGCTAACCAAATTTTTAGAATATGCTCTCTAGCCAAGTCTAACTTTAGACGCTGTAGATGGACAAGCTTGATTGTCTGAACCAAAATGGGAACATTAAATAAACATCACAGCCCTCACTAATAACATTGTGACTTTGCTGTCAAGTGTAGATTCTCTGCCCCATCCCCCCAGAAGAAGAAGAAGAAAAAAAAACTTGTGACCATTTTGTATGGCTTGTCTGGAAACTTCTGTAAATCTTATGTTTTAGTAAAATATTTTTTGTTATTCTAAAAAAAAAAATCATGACTAAGTTGATTTCATCCCCAGTGATTCAAGGTTGGTTTTAAGATATACAAATCAGGCCGGGCAGTGGTGGCTCAGGCCTTTAATCCCAGCACTCGGGAGGCAGAGGCAGGCGGATCTCTGGGATTTAGAGGCCTGCCTGGTCTACAAGAGCTAGTTCCAGGACAGGCACCAAAGCTACAGAGAAACCCTGTCTCGAAAAACCAAAAAAAAAAAAAGATATACAAATTATATACATATTTATTATATAATATATCCTATAAATATATATATAAATATATATATATCCTACAAATATCACAGTTGTCTGATTAGATACAGAAAAAGGCATTTAAAAAAGCTCAACATCCCTTCATGATAAAAGTTATCAAGAGACTGAAATAAAAGAACATATCTCAACATGATAATAGCTATATTCAACAAACCATATCAATCTTTATAAATGGGGAAAAACAGAAATTATTTCCTTTAAAATCAGAAAAGAGGATCTGGGACAATGGCTCAGTCAGCATAGTGTCTGTCATGCAAGCATAAGGACGAGATCAGTTCCCAGAGCCCATGTGAAACATCCAGGTGTAGACACGTCTGTAAGCCCAGCCCAGGGTGGTGGCTGAGACAGACAGCAAGCTAACCAGGTTCAGTGAGAGAGCTGCGTCAAAAGATAAGCTGCAGGGGCTAGTGAGATCGCTAACTGGGTGAAAGTACTTGGCACGTAAACCCAATGACCTAATTCAGCCCCTAGAGCCCACATAAAGGTGGCGAGGAGAACTCGTCATTCTCTGATCTGCTCGTGTGCACCATGGCATGCATCCCCACTATCTTACACACTAATAATAATGTAAATGCATTTTTATGAAACAATAAGGTAGAATGACCGAGGAAGATACCTAGGGTAGCCTATTTTTCAGGCACTAGGTCTCAAAATGGCACCCAGTTCCTGTCTCCCATCTCACAGAGAGAGACAGAATGAGATTCTTGTCCTCTACTGATCTGTCTGCCAGAAAAATCCCTGCCTCACCAAAACCTGCAGCAGTTTTTGAGGTTTGTGAACACCGTGGGCTTGTCCTGTGGGTGGACCTGCTGGTCTGCACCAGGGCTACTGGCTTCACCTCTTAGCCAAGTCTTCTGTTTGGGTTGGGATACAGGGAGAGCTGTGTTCAGATTGGCTCCTTTGCTTTCTTTTTAATTTTTATTCAGTATGTGTGTATGTGTGTTTGTGTGTGTGTGTGTGTGTGTGTGAGAGAGAGAGAGAGAGAGAGAGAGAGAGAGAGAGAGAGAGAGAGAGAGAGAGAGAGAGAGAGAGAGAGAGAGAGAGGGAGGGGGGGGGGGGGGGGGGGGGGGGGGGAGGGAGAGAGAGAGAGAGAGAGAGAGAGAGAGAGAGAGAGAGAGAGGAGGAGGAGGAGGAGGAGGAGGAGGAGGAGGAGGAAGAGGATGATATAGCATATATATGCTGCTTTGCTTAAGTGGAGGTCAGAAGACAACTTTGGGCTTTGGTCCTCACCTTCCACTTTGTTTGAGAGAGGGTCTCTGTCTCTGTCTTTGTCTCACTCTTTCTCTCTCTCTGCCACTGTAAACACTAGGCTAGCTGGCCCGAGAGCTTCCAGAGACTTTCCTGTATCCAGCTCCCATCTTGCTGTAGATGTACGGGGCACACAGAAGTGTACACTGCTGGCTTTACCTGGGTTCTGGGTATTTGCACCCAGGTCCTCAGGTTTTATCTGTTGGGTCATCTCTCTAGGCAGCTTGGCTTCCTTTGTAGTCTTTCATCATTGTCTTTGTGAAATCCTGAAGCTGTCCTCTCTGTGAGGATTAGTCTGTCTTTTCTTTATCTGGAGGGCAGTTTATGGTCTTTCTTCTTACTCGGAAGTCCTGAACTCTAATGTACTTCCAGTTCAGTAGTCCTTAGAAATGTGTAAATTTGTGATTTAGATTATTAAAGTAAGAAATTTTGATTGAAGTAATGACTGAATAAAAATCAACATGTGAAAACATTATAAGTAAATTACAGTGTTTAAAAATGTTTTAGATTACTGATCATAGTACATCTTTTATAGGTAATCGAAAGAAATAGAGTCATACTGGCTAAAAAACTCTACCTCAATGAAAAAGGCTGGAATAAATATGCCAAGCATTTCATTATAATGCTGTCAACTAAGGTAAATCCTGTTACATAAGTCATGGGTAAAATGACTGTAAGTGTTATGTTTTGACGCCATAGGCTTTGCTTTGCCAAACCTGTAGATTCTTAAGTACAGTTCTCTAGTTATGCTTTGTTGTGGGTAGAATGAAAATATAAGGGAAGGAATAAAGACTCTTAATTGCATTGTCTTCCATTGTAATCCAAGCAACACATCTAAGTCTAATGACACTCCAGAGTTTCATAGAGTTATTTATTATTCGTGCTTAAAAGATAAAAGAAAAATAAGAGGTGGTGGTTGGTTGTGGTGGTGCATGCCTGGAACCTCAGAACTCGGGAGTGCGGCAGGCTTACTTTTGGGCCACCAACCAGCTCCTGAACATGACACAGAGACTTATTAATTATGAAAGCTCAGCCTTAACTTAGGCTTGTTCCACCAGCTCTTATAACTTAAATTAACCTGTTTCTCTTTATCTACCTTTTGCCTTGGGGCTTTTTTTTAAACCTTTCTTCCATTGTGTATTTCCTACTCTGTGTCTGTCTGTCCCTCTTTATCTCCCTTGTTCTCTTCTCATGACCCTAGATTCTCTCTCCTGCTTGTTCTCTCTGCCTGGCAGCCCCACCTATCACTCTGTTGCCTCCTATTGGCCATTTAGTTTCTTATTAGACCTTAGGAAGGCAAGGTGAAACAGCAACACATGTTTACATAATTAAACAAATGCAGCATAAACAAATATAACATATCTTTGCCTAGTTTAAGTAATATTCCACAACACAGGAGACTGAAACAGGAGGATCATAAATGTGATGTCAGCCTGGGCTACAAAGAGAGGAGGAAGAAGAGGAAAAGGGGGAAGAAGGAGACATTATTATGTATTCTTAAATAATTTTATGAGAAAATGTATTGATCACTGTGGCATTATTAGGAGGTTTGGCCTTGTTGGACGAAGTGTGTCACCATTGGGGCAGGCTTTAAGGTTTCATATGCTCAGGATACCAACCAAAGAGTCAGTCAACTTCCTGTTGCTTGCAAGATGCAGCACTCTCATCTCTAGAACCATGACTCCCTGCATGCTCACCACCATGATGATAATGGGCTAAACCTCTGAACCTGTAAGCGAGATATCCCAATTAAATGTTTTCTTTATAAGAGCTGCTGTGGTCATGGTGTCTCTTCACAGCAATAAAAACCCTAACTAAGACAATCCCCAAGAGAGAAAATAAACTAGCATTTAGTGCGTTTTCATCAAGTCAAAGCATTTACACCAGCCATTAAGCTCCTCCCTTTTGAGCATAGCATACATAGGTTTATTAAGGAAATGTGAGAAAGAACTAGAGAGTAGGGGCTGTGAGGGAGGAACACCTTTCAGTCAAAATACTTATTTTTAAATTTATGTACATGTGTGTGTGCTTGTATGAGTTTATGTGTACCATGTGTGTGCAGTTGCCCTCAGGCCACAAGAGGGTATCAGTTTCCCTGGAACTGCAGTTATGAGTCACCAGATAAGGGTGCTGGGAATAGAACCCCAGGCCAGTTCTCTGAAGATTAGTAAGCATTCTTAACGACCAAGCCATTTCTCCAGTTCCTGACATCTTACTGTTAAAGTAGTCCTCTGAGGTATATATTAGTGCCTTTATTTTATGTATAATAAAAATGAGCTTTAGACTAAATAATGTCACTGTCTAGAATTCACATTCAGTTCTGCCTGGTTTTGTCCTTGCCAGTAAGTCATTTTGCCCCTGCAAAAACCCTGTGGGAAAACTAGGTTCTTGTTGCAAAGGGAAAATTCTTGTTCCTAATAATATGTCCCACAGAAAAACCCATTGCCATGGTGTCTCTGACAGTGTTCAAAAAGAGAACTATCTTTCCAACTACTTGACCCATTTCCTGTGAGTTCTTCTAGTGATTCAATGGTACATGTCGATCAATGTTTGTTGTATGAATAAACGAACACCTTGATTCTGTGTATTTTAGGACACTGCAGACCTTGCAGTGCTGCAGAAGTTGACAGAAAAATGGAAAAGGTTAGTGAACAGATTTAAGCAGGAGGTGGAACACATGGAGGAATCCACAAAGGAAAAATCCCAAACTGTGAAAGCTGGGATTCTCAAATGGCAGCAGTTCTTCAGTGCTAACATGTGCGTGTGCAAGAATCTTGCTCTTTTGATTTTATTGTATTATGTCTGGTAATGCAGCCAGCCCCATCATTAATTCCTCTAGCACTGAGTTTGCAGGGAGGTAAGAACATCCCTTCCTGGGCCTGAACACATGTGCAGCCCTCCTGATCGCCCTTGGAGCATCTGGGAGTGAGTTTCTAGAAAGGTGCACAAGAAGACTTGTGCTATCCCATGAGTGCATTGACACAGAGGTACATTTTAAGTACCATTTCTATTTGAAATTTAATGTAGTGGTTTCAGTTTTTCAAAGCCCTTGAAGACTTCCCAATTAGTGGAGGTGAAAATTCTGAAAACCGACGTTGATACACCACAAGTGGCTTCGTGCAGCCCACTTGGCAGTGAGGGGAGCCCAGGTGTCTGCTCCCTTGTGCTAGCTCTCACCTGTAAGCCCTCATGAGGTGGAGGTAAAGATCATGAGTTCAAGGCCAGCCTGCTACATAGTGAGCCCCTGTTTTTTATAAGTATTCTTCAAGCCGTCACTTGCAGATCTTCATTGCTAAGTATACCTGCTTTTCTGATTTCTAATTTAAAAACTGAACCTTTGGCTTTTCCTCATTTCTGACACTTTTTCCATGATTAGCCAAGAGCTTCAGGATGCTTTTCCTGACACTGGACTCTGGCACTGTCTTTCTGCACACTGTCCTGCCCTCCCCCGTTTCTAGATCTGCTTGACAACCTCCAAGTCAGCTCCAGTGACATTTTCCTCTTCTCCGTCTTCCCCTGCCAGCACCTGTTGGGATTTTCAGCTCGCTTGCCTGTAATAAAATGGTCTTCAAGTTCCAAAAAGGGTTATTTTGTTGTTTAAAAATTTAAACAAATCAATAAAATATAAAAGAATAAAAATAAAACAGCTTTTTCCTTGTACATGTCAGAGAAAGGAAAGGGCACTTCTGGTAAGAGGTTTGGACTCCTGACTTGATGTTCTCATAATTGTCCATCTGTCAGGCTTCCTGTCCAGTAACTTATTGTTTGGCAGGAATTCTTAGGATGCCCTGGTCTTGGGTTCTCAGGATGAGAGCTTGCTCTTTAAAGAGATGCCCTGAAGGCTTTAAGCCCCATAGCTTGAGTAGTTAGAATCAGAATTTATTATTTTTAATTGCTAATTTGAAGAGGAATTCCCAGAAGAGAGGGGCTGGGTCTGGAGGCTGTCCTGAAAGGTGGTGGAGTTAACAGGTAATGTTGCTGTTCATGTGTGGACTTCTGGGTTTCTTTGTATGTATCTTGTTCTGAGACCTCTCTCTTATTGTTCTTCTTCCAGCGGAAAAGAGATTGTAACCCCTGGTAAGAAGAACCCTTTCACTTCAATCCTTATCGACTTCAAGGAGTTTTATAGGGTAAGACTTCCTCAAGATAGTCTGCCATTCTACTGGCTGGTGGCAAGTGTGATGGCTCACACCTGCAGCTGAGCCACATCTTATCCTTTAGAAAGGCACATCAAGGTTTATGAATGACACGCACAAACAACACAACAACAACAACAACAACAACAACAACAACCTAGCTAGGCTGTGCGGTGAGAGAGGCTGAGTCTCAATTCCCAGTATAAGTATCATTTCTGCTCTCCTCATATTGAGCTTTCGTGTAAAGGACAAGCTGCACTTTTAAAATTAATTACATTTTTATCAATCATGGGAAAATATATATAACATAAATACCGTTTTAACCACTGAAGTGTATAGGCTATGCCATGGAGTGCATGCGCACTGCTACATGGTCGAGCTTTCCAACGGAATTGCTACTCATGAAACAGTAAATCCAGGGCTAGCTTTCCCTCAGTGATGGAGGAAGGTCATTGGTTAAAAAATAAAGAAACTGCTTGGTCCTGATAGGTAGAAAATTAGGTAGGCGGGGTAAACAGAACAGAATGCTGGGAGGAAGAGGAAGTGAGCTCAGAGGCCATGCTCCCCTCTCCCGGGCAGAGACACAATGAAACTCTGACCCAGGATGGACGTAGGCTAGAATCTTCCTGGTAAGCGCACTTTGGGGTGCTACACACATTATTAGAAATGGGCTAGTCCAGGTTCGAGAGTTAGCCGAGAAGAGGCTAGATATAATGGGCCAAGCAGTGTTTAAAAGAATACAGTTTGTGTGTTGTTATTTTGGGTAAAGCTAGCCAGCGGCAGGGGCTGGGTAGAGGAATGCAACCCACAGCTCCTTACTACACCTCAGCCCCTGACAAGCATTATTCTACTCTCTGTGAATTGACGGTTCTAGTATTGATCTCTCTGTGAATGCCTTATTTCCCTCAGTATTGCCATCAAGGTTCAGACATGTTTCAGAATCAACTCCTTTTTAAGGTCAGGCTATATTTTATTGTGTATGTGCCATACATATTACATTTTACACATTATTAGAATGTTTTTTTAAAAAGTTTTAAGTTTTAAAAATAAATTTTACTAATTCACTATTATGAGGCCAGAGATATGGCTCAGTGGCGTGGCTCAGTCCTATCCCACTGAACCAAACGTGCAGGCCCAACTACTATTATGCTATTGTGCTATAGTAGTGGGACAAAAAAAATGTATAATGTCATTGAGTTAAGAGGGAATATCAAATTCATGACCTAATGAAATCTCATACAAAGTTCAAGATTTGATTTTTTGTGTATGCTTCTGAGACTAGGTTTCCAATAGCCCATTCTGATCCTGAGCTCATGATGTAGCCAAGACCAGACTGGAGTTCCTTCCCACCCCCTTGCCTCTCAGGGCTGGGACTACAGGTGTGCACTGACCACTGTGCCCAGTCACTTCCTCTTCTTCTGGAATGACTTGATCAAAATAATCTTCAGACCAAGGATGTTTGCCTTTCTACACAGAGTGTATTTACTTTAGTGATTTCTTTTTTTTTTTTTTTTTGGTAGTTTTGAGACATATGGATAAAATTGAAAAATACTTAATTAGGGATAATAATTCTTACTTAGTTTATTAAATACTTGTCAGGCTGAAAATGCAATTCATACATTATTGTATTCTTTCTGACAGCTCATGATAGAGGTTTTATGATTCCCATCTCACACTTTACCAAATCGAAGCTTAGGAAAACAATTAACTGAGTTTTCTGTCGGTAGCAAATGGCAGAATAAGAATTTGAGCCTGAGTATCTTTAACCCCAGAATCTTACAAGAAGAAATGTGCAGACGATGACAAGAGCGCGTGACTTTTCAGAATCTTTAAGAATCATGGGGATGGAGGCTGGGCGCAGACTTGGAATAATAGTGTGCTCTTCTCCCTCTGCTTCCCTTCCTAGCTGATGAGTGAGGAGAAAGAAAATTTTACAGGGGATTCTCTGCTGGCCAAATACGACTCTCTCAAGATCATTAGGCGCTTACAGGAGAACTGGACAGACATTGGGTTTGCGATATTTAGTCGCCATAAGAACATGGATGGGGTGTTGCCCCCAGAGCACGAGTACATGGAAGAAATGATAAAAAACATTAGCAGGCTCTACAAAGAGTACGAAATAAGAATAAATGGTGACAACGGTAAGCAAACAAACAAAATGAGATTTCTTGGCATCGTAAAGGATCTTAACAGTAATTACAGTGTTGAATATCATTAAAACCCAAAGAGTTCATTAGAAATTAAAGTCTTAGAAAAAGATAAGATCTCCTGAGTAAATTGGGAGCGTGGGGATTATGGGAGAGAGTAGAAGGGGATGGGGTAAGAAGGGAAGGGAGCAGAGAAAAATAAAGTTCAATAAAAACAATTAATAAAAACAAAAAATAAATCTTTAAAATATATACAAAAAATTAAAATCTAAGAAATAAGTACAAACCATCCCAGTTTTAAAAATCAAGCAGAAAGGGCACTGAGAAATAGCTCAGATGTTAAGAGCACTGACTGTTCTTCCAGAGGTCCTGAGTTCAATTCCCAGTAACCACACGGTGGCTCACAACCATCTATAATGAGATCTGGTGCCTTCTTCTGGCCTTCAGGAATACATGTAGGCAGAATACTGAGACTAATAATAAATAAATCTTTAAAAAAAGATGAAAAAAATCAAGCAGAAAAAATATTGAGTATCATTTTGCTCAGATATAATTTAAGATATAATACCACCACCTGTTTAAAGTGTGAATACAATGTACACATGTGTGTGCATCCATTTCCACAGGTGAGTTTGTAATATTTAGAACACTTCACTAGGAGTCCTGAGTCCTGTATCCTTGCTCTGTGTTGAGCTTTCTGGAGACTGCAACAGTGTTTCTGAGGTGGATACAGTTTTACATCCTCAGGAGCAGTTACAAGGCTCTGATGTTTCTACTTCCTTGGTACCACCATGGCCACCTCACCATGACAGTGGGTGTGAGATACTGTTTCTCTGTGGTCTTGGTTTGTATGCACCTGATAATAAGGATAGCAAAAATTCTTGTCTATCTCCTTTGGGAAAGTTCCTGTTCATATTGTGCATGCCAGTGTGTGTGTGCACTTGCGTGTGTGCATGCGTGCATATGTGCATGTGTGTGTGTGTGCATGCGTGCATGTGTATGTTGTACTTTTATTGTAGCTACACATCACTTTTCAGACATGTGACCTACAAATATTTTCTCCCATTCCGTTGGTTGCCTTTTCAAGTTTCCTCTGGTACTGCCTAGATGTATGTCTGTGTAGCACATGTATACGGGGACTGCAGAGACCAGAAGAGGGCATCTGATCCCTTGGACAGGAGTTACAGATGGTTGTCAGTTGCCATATGACTGCTGGGAACAGACTCTGGGTCCTCTGGAGCCATTCCACAGCCCCAGCCCCCTATTTCTTTGTTGAGTCATTTTGTACAATAAGAACTGGAGTCATCCACTGTTGCTTTGGATTGGTCTCCTCTGTATGTTGTGGTACTCTGTTATTGATTGTCTATGTCTTTATAATTGCTGCAGCTTCTTCATGGGTTGACCCTTTTATTAGAGTAAAATCTCTGCCTCCTGCTCTTAAAGAGATGATTAGCTGCCCAGTGTTACACCAAGAAATCTGGGCTGAGAGAAGTGTCCATAAAAATCCTTCTGCAGATTTTCAGCTGTTTTTCTTCCATCCAGGTCCTAGTCTCATTCACTGCTAGACTTCATGTATCAGCCTCTTTCAGATTTTCCAGGGAAAATTTGACTGCCTTTTTTCTTCTTCTTTCTTTTTTGTTTTTTTTTTTTTTTTTGAGACAAGGTTTCTCTGTGTAATAGACCTGGCTGTCTGAAACACACTTTGTAGACCAGGTTGGCCTGGAACGCAGAGGCTTGCTCATCGCTCCCTCCTGAGTACTAGGATTAAAGGACTTGTCATCTATAGTATTTGTTGATTTTTCCTTATGGATTGATGATGTCAGGTACTTTCTTGTCATTTTGGCCTGGAAAGGTATCTCCCAAACTCATGCAGTGATCTCAGAGAATGTCNTTTTTTTTGAGACAAGGTTTCTCTGTGTAATAGACCTGGCTGTCTGAAACACACTTTGTAGACCAGGTTGGCCTTGAACTCACTGAGATCTGCCTGCCTCTGCTGCCAAGTGCTGGGATTAAAGGCATGTGCCACCACTGCCCGGCTGATTTGTCTATTTTTTTAACCCTAGTCAGACACCATCAATTATGTTAAAATTCCAATTTCATAGCCAGTTTATCCGATATATGCTATATAAACCAGCTTTCACATTCTGGCCTGGAAAGGTATCTCCCAAACTCATGCAGTGATCTCAGAGAATGTCTAAAGTGGGTGTTTGAAAACTACTTCAATGACAGAACTAAGAACCTTCAGAAAATGTTCTAAGTAGGAACCAGTGTTATCACTAAGTGCAGCACAATTATTATTATTATTATTATTATTATTATTATTATTATTATTATTATTGATATATTCCTCTGTGAGCTATCTGCATAATTATTTCTCATTTTTAAAAATACAGCCATTATTTGCCTCTGTAGAGTTTTTGTGATATCTCTATGATAGCTACTTTGTTGTAGGAGGCCGCTTGTGTGTTCCCAGCTGCTCAGGCCTGAAATAACCACACAGAAACTATATTACAAATCACTGCTTGGCCAATCACTTAAGTATATTGCTAGCTAGCTCTTACATCTAGAATTAACCCATCTCCATTATTTTATATTTTACCACAATGTTCATGGCCTACCGGCAGGGTTCCAGCTGGCAGCTTGTGTCTGTCTCCAGTGGTGGCTCCATGGCGTCTCTGACTTCACCTTCTTTCTCCCAGCATTCAATTTAGTTTCCCCCACCTATCTAAGTTCTGCCCTGCACAGGCCTAAGACAGTTTCTTTATTAACCAGTGGTATTCACAGCATACAGAGAGGAATCCCATATCACCTCCCTTTTCTGTTTAAATAAAAAGGAAGGTTTTAACTTTAACATAGTAAAATTACATAGAACAAAACAGGTATCAAGCAAGAATTACAGTTACAATATTTATATCTACTTTATCTTTTATCATAACTAAGGAAAACTATAATGATAAGTATCTATTCTTCAACTCTATCAAAGACTCCAGAAGGATATAATACCTAAGTTAACAGGAAGTGCATTGTAAGCAACTTCCAAAACTCTGGAATTGACAGAGACATCTCACTGCCTGGACAGTCACCCAAAGTTTTTCTATATCATTGGAGCATCCATCTTCAGCTTGCAGGCCCATAGTATTCAGCAGACTTTTCCACAAAGCAGGAAATTTGGAGATCTGTTCTGCCTTTTAATGGCAAAGTCTATCAGTTACTTTCTTCTGTATCCTGTAGAATGTCTGACAGACTCTTTCATGTAGCAGGAACCCCAAAGGAGTGTCTCACCTTTAGGCAAGTTCAGCAGTCATTTCTCTGTGGATCCTGCATGTCTAGTTCATACAACATAGCATCAAGCAGTCCAGGCAAGAGCAGTTTGCCCAAATGGCTAGCAAACTGTATAAGTAGCCTCTTCAGTGCCCATCATCCTCTTGAAGTAGATTGGTGCTGCCAGGAGCAGATGGGTCTCATTGTCATGAAAAGTCCTAACTTATTAAAACACTTTAAATGCCATATTCTGTAGTTTTTGAAAGATTGGAAGAATGCCTATCCATCTGAAATACATCTTTGTACATCTAGAAAATCTAACTAACATGACTACAAGATTGACTATTGTAGATGATTATCTATTAACCTATATTTCTTAATTATACATTACATTTTTAAATGAGCTGAACAAATACAATACCTTAATCAAGATCAGAAATACATATACACAGTATAACAAAATTGACCTTAAATTTGTATCAATAAACCAAGATCTGTACTAATGCAAATCTCTTTGGCACTACTTGTTCCAATACTTTAATTATTGTTCATGTAACAATAATTGTATCTATCTACTATCTATCTATCTATCTATCTATCTATCTATCTATCTATCTATCTTCCTTCTTGTAACTAGTGCCTGTTAGATGGCATGCTCTCAAGAAATATGATTAGCTTTTAACCCTTAATTAAGCTAAAAGTAGTAGATGAAAGGTGTTGTGGAATATTTGCTTAACTATGTAAAGTTACGTTACATTAGTTTATGTTGTAGAATATTACTGTAACTATGTAAAGATGTTATGCTGTTTCACCTAACCTGCCTAAGGCACCTGATTGGTCTAATAAAAAGCTGAATGGCCAATAACTAGACTGTAGAGGGATAGGCATAGTTGGTAGGGAGAGAGAATAAGTAGGAGGAAGAATCTAGGCTCAGCAGAGAACAAGGGAGAAAGAGAGGGAGACTCCTGGGGCCAGTCTGGCAGCTGCCAGCCAACCAGACGCCAAGGAAGCAGGAAAGTAGGACATACAGAATGAAAGAAAGGTAAAAAGCCCCAAGGCAAAACAAAGACAAAGACAAGCAGGTTAAATTAAGTTATAAGAGCTAGTGGGACAAGCATAATATCGAGCTGAGCATTCATAGCTAATAGTAAGTTTGAATCATGATTTGGGGACTGGCAGTCCGAGAAAGCCTGCTACAGAAAGAGACTCCAAAAGTAGGGTATATCCACACTCGTTGGATTAGGTATTTTATAGAAGGTGGTGATGAATCTTTTCCCTTAAGAAAATGTCGAGGCTGAGGAGATAGCTCAGCACGGAAAGTGCTTGCTACATTGCAGGAACACCTGAGTTCACATCCCCAGCACCTGTGTTAAAAAGCTGGCGATGCGTGCTTTTAATCCCAGTGCCAGGCACTGGCTCTTACCTTTACCTCAGTCTGAAATGGTGATCCTGCCTCCAGGAATCTCGAATGAGACTGAGCTGAGAGCTGTCTCATCTTATATTCCTCTCTAATTCTGGGATTAAAGGCGTGCACCACCACCGCCCGGCCTCTATAGCTAACTAGTGTGGCTACTGGGATTAAAGGTGTGTGCCACTACTGCCTGGTTTATATGGCTGGCTAGTGTGGCTGTTTCACACTCTGATCTTCAGGCAAGCTTTATTCATTAAAATATAAATGAAATATCACTACAGGGTTTTCTCTTTATGTTTTAAAAATGAAATGAGACAGAGAAGGTATTTTTCTGTGACCTCACTGTGAAGTAGTCCACTGTGTTAACAGTGGGATCCAGGCTCTATCCTTCAGGCCTTTAGAGTATAGTGGTTGCCATGACTAGAAACTGTGGATTTCATGAAGACCCAGGCAAGGACCAAGAAATATCTGCAGATCCACATCTACTCCCCTGTCATTGACTGTCTCGGGAAGAAGGATGCTCATCATCACTCCTCTCTTCAGAGAGTGACAGAAAACTGTAGCTGGTATTTCTGGATTTAATGCATTTGGTTCTCCACAGAGAAAGCAAGGAAATTAGAACACAAGCTCACCAAAGAAGCGCCCACTGGGCACAGAGGCTCTTACTGCAGCGTTTACTTGCAGTAAGTTAGAAATCTGTGGGTTCTAGTAGGCTGGAGCATGGCAAACAGGGCTCTGTCAGCCTTGCCCTTCTCTCCCATCCCCCATCCCTTCAGCCTTGATTAAAAAAAAACAACAACAACAACAACAAAAAAAAAACACTGGGCCACATTCCTAAAGCTAGGCACCAAGGTTTATTCACTTATTTGATTATGTCCTCCCGAAGCTGACTACCAAGATCCAGCTGTCAAACTATTGAAGTCCAGCAATCAAAAGCTCCCTTTAGGCTGTCCTGATTAACACGCCCAATCAAAACAAACCAACTCATCCTAACAGTGTTTCCCATTTAGCCTTTATAAACTGTCATTTGCCTCCTGTGGGCCACGCCTCTCTCTCTCTCTCTCTCTCTCTCTCTCTCTCTCTCTCTCTCTCTCTCTCTC